TGGTGCATAAATCCCAAGTCTCATTTCTTCAGAACAAGTAGCCCCACGGTGTATTTCTTTTTATCTCACCAGCTTCTTGTCAACACCAGGTTCATCTCCTGGTCCCATTTCTTTTCCAGGCTCACAATAAAACTGATTTAACGTCAAAGTTTCTTTAAGAATTACGTTACAATATGCTGATCCGAAAATACATTTTCTAAAATTATTTTTTCTAGCCATAAGGGGACCATCAAAGAGTTCTTGGTGATATTATCTCCTAAGAACTTATGCTCAGGTTGTAAACTTCCTTCTGTTAGAAGCCACTGCGTGGTCCTTTGGTGAGCTCTTCCATTTTGAATTTCTAGCTCAGATTTAAACACAGAAACAACTCAAATCGACTCACAGAGGCTTTTTAAAAAACTCTTATAAATAATAGCATGTTAATAAGGGAAAGTGCCTTCATGTATTAAAGGTTTTATATTTGTACAAATAAGCTCCTGAGATATTTTTTCTCAGATTTTTTTTCCTTTCCTGGAAAACACACACACATATGATTAACAATTTTTTGTTTTGTTTTTTGAGACAGGGTTTCTCTGTGTAGCCCTGGCTGCCCTGGAATTCTCTCTGTAGATCAGGCTGGCCTCGAACTCATAGAGATCTATCTGCCTTTGCCTCCCGAGTGCTGGGATTAAAGGTGTATGCTGTCACCCCCACCTAGCTATGACTTTAATGTGTGTGTTTTTTTTTAAAGAGACCATGAATTTAAAGGCGAGCAAGAAGGGGTACCTGGGAGGGTTTGGAGAGAGGAAGGTAAAGGAGAAATGTGAATTATTTATTTTTATTTATTTATTTATTTATTTTGGTTTTATGAGACAGGGTTTTTTTTTTTTGTTGTTTTTTTTGTTTTTTGTTTTTTTGGTTTTTCGAGACAAGGTTTCTCTGTGGCTTTGGAGGCTGTCCTGGAACTCACTCTGTAGACCAGGCTGGCCTAGAACTCACAGAGATCCGCCTGCCTCTGCCTCCCGAGTGCTGGGATTAAAGGCATTCGCCACCACTGCCCGGCGAGAAATGTAAATTATAATCTCAAAAGAAAGAAAGGACATGTATGCTGACAGTTTAAATACAACATGTGCAACCCCTAGACTTCTGAGATGAGTCTTAGTCAACTGCATAAGGAGAAGTGGAGAAAGCTACTGATCCAAGAGAGAAGGAAGGGCGGGCAGCAGACACCTTTAAATCCCAGTCCTTAAAAGGCAAAGGCAGGCAGATCCATGTGAACTGGAGGCCAACCTGCTTTACATATTGAGTTCTAGGCTATGAACCCTGTCCATGGATAGATACATAGGTAGATAGATAGATAGATAGATAGATAGATAGATAGATAGATGGATGGATGGATAGATAGATGAATATTAAAGGGGTGGGACTTGGAATAGGGTAGAACCATCCATAGCTGGGCAAAGTTAAGGAAGCATGGCCTTCCTTTTTCTATTCCCAGTGACTTCAGACATACATGTCTCCACCTCTGTGATGAAACTACCCTGTATTATTCATTATGTCCCTCCTGCACTAGGCTTTGAGATCCATGAGCAAAGGGACACTGTGAAAACAGAGTTGGTGCCACTGGCCCTATGTGCCAGGTCACAGGAGGGGCAGAGTTAGAGAAATATGGCAGTGACAAAATGCAGTGACAAACAGCAGTTCATCTGCAGAGCAGGGCTCACTGGGCTGATTGGTTTTGTACCTGACCTTACAGAGGGCCAAGAAACTGAGGCTGTCATCCCTCAGGCACCATGAGGGAGAGCACAACTCTATGCTCAGGTGCCCAAGGGTCCCCTCTGGTGGGCTCCAGGTCTCTGGGATTTAATGATCATAAGAAGAGAAAGAGGAAGAAAGGCAGGGGAGAAGTGGGAAGATGTGTCATCTACATGAAAACGAGGTGTCAGCTACGGGTCATGGGTATAAATGAAGATACAGCCACACAGGGCCCTGGAGCAGTTTAGGTTAGCAGAGAATGGAACCCTGCTCTTGACTGTTGGGCTAAGGATATTGTAATGGTTGGTTTTCACTAGGAATTCAATAGAATCTAGAGTCTCCTGTAAAGAGATTCTCAATGAGGCATTGTCTTGGTCAGGTTAGCCAATCAATGTGTATCTGGAGGATTGAGTTGATTACAACTGTAGGCAGAGTTTTTTTGTCAGGACCTCCAGTCAGCTCTGTCCTGCCAGCTGCTCCCAAATAACTACACAGACTTATTATTAATTATAAATACTTGGCCAATGGCTTAGGCTTGTTGCTAATTAGCTCTTACACCTTAAATTGGCCCATATTTCATATCTACACTCTGCCACATGGCCGTGTCCTTCTTCACTGTGGCAGGTTCATCTTGTTTCTCTCCATCTTCTGGCGACTCCCTTTCTCCCTTGCACTCTCAATTTGTCTGCAAGTGCTGCCTAGCCTTTTCCTGCCTAGCTATTGCCCAGTCGGCTCTTTATTATTAAATCAATGAGAGTAACAAATATTCACAGTGTACAGAAAGATTGTTCCACGGAATACAGTAACTGAGATGGGAAGACAGATCTATTATGGGTGGTTCGTTTCCCTAAATTTGGATCCTGATCTATATGAGTACACTAGGAACAGGTATACCTTCATTTGGTCTTTCTCTGCTCTTGAGTGTGGATGTGATATCCCTGGCTTCTTGGAGTTCCTGCCACTGTGATTTCCCCCTTGTATTATATCCTGGAATGGTGAGAGGAAATAAACCCTTTCTCCCCTAAGTTACTTTTTATTCAGGTGTTTTTATCACAGCAATTGGCAACAAACTAAAATAGGCATCACCTGGTTCCAGAAGGGCTGAGGGGGGGACACAATGAGTGACATGAGGAGGATAAGCAGGTGTTGTCTGCCCTGGGCCAACTCGGGCTGGGCACAAACAGAAGACAAATTTCAGTTGCATCCGGTCCTGTTGAGTCTGGGACTAGGTCCTGCTGAGTTTGCTCAGGACAGGGTTTTTTGTTGTATTCAATAGTTTTCTCATTTAATGCTCACAGAGCCCAAACAGGGTCAATGTTGATGTTCCATGAGATATGCGTGGCTGTAGAACTGACCATGAACCAAGGGCGGTTCTTGGTGCCTTACAAATATTAATGCATTTGATCTTCATCAAAGCCCTCTAGGGGCTGAGGCTGTGGGTCAGTTGGTAGACTTCTTGCCCAGCATGTATAAAGCCCTAGGTTTGATCATCAACACCACGTAAACTGGCTGTTGTGGCACAGGCCTGAAAATTAGAGCACTTGGATCACAAAGGTGAGAAGATCAGGAGTTCAAGGTCATCCATGGCTACACAATGACTTCAGGGCCAGCCTGGGATATTCATCTTACTCTTTGTGTGTGTGTGTGTGTGTGTGTGTGTGTGTGTGTGTGTGTGTGTGTATGTTAGGTATACATGTATGTGTTGGTTTCTATACACATATGTATGCATGTGCTGGTGGGTGTGGACACCAGAGATCTCCTCAGGTACTGTTTTGTTTTTTGTTTGTTTGTTTTATTTTGTTTGGAGACAGGATCTTTCATTGGCTCACTGATTAGTCTAGGCTGGCTGACCATGGGGCCACAGACATCTGCCTCCCAGTTCGAGGATTACAAGGTTCCCACCATACCCAGTCCTTTAAGGGAATTGAACTTAGGACCCTATGTTTGCTTGCACAGCAAGTACGTTACTAATATATCTCCCCAGCCCTGTTGGGTATTTCTATCCTATAAACAGTGGAGAACAGAGATAGAGATATAAATGATTGCATGTATTTTACGGGGCATTGGTATTTATTTTGCTCACTAGGTAGCATTTGGTTTGTTGGTTTGTTTTGTGCCGCTTCTGGTAGGCACTCTATCACTAAGCTGTTAACCCTACCTTCCCTTTCTTCTCCCGAAACAGTGTCTCTCAAGTTACCCAGGCTAGCTTTGAATTTACCATCCTTCTGTTTCATCCTCTTATGCAGGTGGGATTACAGGCCTGTGCTAGGCACTAGAGTTCAGTGTCAAATATGACTAAGGATGTCTTGGCTCTGTCTGGTTCTGAGTTTTGTCCCTAAGGTTTTGGTGGTAGCAAGTGGGTTCTGCAGATTCTTCAAGCTAAAAATGTCCGGAAGTTGTTTATCTCTGTAAAGCCACCTTCAGCTACTGGGTTTTTGTTTTGTTTGTAGACGGGTCTCACCAGTGCCATCCTAAGTGAAGTCACCCAGACCCAGAAAGACAAACATACCATGTACTCACTCATAAGTGGATATTACACATAAAGCAAAGGACAACCAGCCTACAGGTCACAACCCCAGAGAACCTAGGTAACAAAGAGGACCCTAAGAGAGACATACATAGATTGGCCTAGGAAGGGGAAAAAGACAAGATCTCCTGAGTAAATTGGGAGCGTGGGGAGCAGGGAAAGGGTGGGAAGGGAGAGGTGAGGAGGGAAGGGGAATGGGGGAAAATGTACGCTTAAAATGAAATAACCCTCCAAAGCCACAGATAAACCCTGTCTCAAAAAACCAAAAAAAAAAAATGAAATAACCCAGGCTGGTCTCAATATCATGGTTCTCTAACCCTCACTTCCTAAGGGCTGAGTTTGCAGGCATGAAGCGCCATGCCCAGCTCACCTTCAGCACTGTGACATCTCTAACCCTCACATCCGGGGCTACAGCAATTTGTCCCTCCCTGTTGGCTCAAGCAGGGAAGAAGCAGATGCTTAGTTGGAGAGGTGAGCATAGGACTTGGTTCCTAACTTTGACAATAGTGGCCCCCAACCCAGCTTCTCTGGCTTCCCAGTACTAGTATACAAGACATTTAGGGAATGCATAATGAGAATATAATCTCATTTCATTCCTGCAATAACTCAATGAGGAAGATGTTATTACATCTCTGTTGTAGATGAGAAAATCAAAACTGAACAAAATGAGAATTTGTTCAAGGTCAACCAGCAGTTTATAACAGAGCCAGGCTTTGAACCCATGTCCAAGGAAGTGTGTGTTTTGTTTGCTTTATTTTATTGTACTGAAAATTTATTTCCTTCACACATACAGAATATAAGACCTATCTTCAACATGAATTATTGCTCCTTTGCTCTGTTTTTTTTTTCATGCAAATATTAATGACTAGTTCCTGGGGGAAGAAAAAAATGGAAATAAATCCAGAGCCCCACGCCCTTAACTACTGAAAGGCACGCTGCTCCAGGAGCTTTCTCGTGGAATCTTGGGATCTCCATTCTGAATTCCACAGCTGCGCAGTTGCTCAGGACCCACAGTTGTCTCCTGTGTGCATTTCTTGTTGGCTCAGCTTGATTTTATCCCCTGTGATGCACACAGTAAATACATGATAAATGTTTGTTGAATGAATGGATTTTACATGTATCTTGCTGAAATATTCGCAGCTCCATTTGATTCACTGGAGTGGCATACCCGAACAAGAAATAATTTTTCTTAATGTGTCCCTTATAAATTGAACCCGACCATATTTGATTAATCTCACATCATGCATTTTTATTGCACCGATCACTCTGGTATCAGGTCAGATTTATTTTAAAAACAGATTCACAAAGGGTGCAAGGCTGGAGCGACAGTGTAAATATGTTAATAATAAAAATAATACAGAAGATATTTTACTGGAAACTCTTGCATGCTAATGATGAGTAAGTGCATTCTACAGAAATATTTTTGATTTACAAGGCAATTAATTTCAAAAAGATTCACACCCTATCCCATGTTTTGTATACTTACATAATGAAAACTAAAAAAAATTAAAAATGAATATCCAGGCCATAAAATCTGAGGAAAAACAACAAAATCACCTAAAGGGCTCCAATGTTTTAGTTAGAACAACGGCACAATCTCAGAAAATGGTACTATTCTGATATCAAAAACAACTCGATTAGAAAGACCCAGCATGGTGACTGTAGCTTTTACTTTGCAAAGAACACTTGCTTGCTATATATAGCAAGACAAGGAACACTGTGTTATCCAGTGACCAAAGAGGCCCAGTGCCTCCATCACATGGAGATGCTTTGGGGTTTTTTGTTCCCAAGACAGCAAAGTCTCTCCTTGTGGGAATAGTGAGCCAAGCAGATGCATCCTCTTGGCCTATTCAAACCACAAGACTTAAAAAGTGTTTTATGCCACACAACGGTGGCACACACCTTTAATCCCAGCACTCAAGAGGCAGATGCAGGCAGATCTCTGTGAGTTCAATGTCAGCCTGGTCTACAAAGCTACACAAAGTAACCCTGTCTCAAAATTTAAAAAAACAGGGTTTCATTTGTGATTTTCTCGCTCAGCCCTGGTGGTCTAAGACAGCAGGACTTCTCTTGCACGCTCTGGGGGCAGACGCTCCTTTGGACTGACTCTGTCTGCCTGGCGACTGAGACGGACAGGCAGTAAACTGGACCTGGTCATGTGGCTCTGTAAAGAGGAGCCTTCCTGCCAGCCTGGTTCCAAAGCTGCATCAGTCCCAAATGAACACACAGGAGGCTATATTAATTATGAAGCTGTTGGCCTTGCTTGTTTCTTACTGGCTAGCTCTGACTTAAGTATTTATCCCATAATTGTTAATCTAAGTATTTCTCTTACCGGAGAAATTTCCGGGTTTCCTACCCCATGGCGGTTACATCTTGACTTCTTGTGTTTCTCCTTCCCAGAGTTCCTGGACTCCTAGTCCCATCTATCTTGGTTCACTATTGGCCAACAGTGCTTTATTGACATATACACAGGACTTCCCCCATCAAGGCTCACCAAACGAAATGGTTGTGACTGTCCCTCAAAGAGCACTAATCTCCCCAGAGGGAGCCAGCACCAACCTTTAAGATACAACTGTTTGGCTATTTTAAAAAGTTTGTATATAACTTTGATTTTAAACAATGAAAAACAAAGAAGGAGGACCTTGGTCCAGCCTCAAGGTGATGTGACAGACTTTGTTGATTCCCTCACCCTCTCTGAGGAGTGATGGGGGTGGAAGGAGAGGTAGGGGAAGCAGGAGGAGGGGAGGGGGGGAACTTGATGGGGGAAGTCCTTCTGTGTATATGTTGTCTTACTGGTTGATAAATAAAGCACTGTTGGCCAATAGGGAAGGAAGATAGGCCTAGGAAAGGTGAGGGATTCTGGAAAACGGAGGTAAGAAAAGACCACGTGGAAATACTCAGATTAGCAGTTATAGGTTAATGATTAAGTCATAGCTAGCCGATAAGAAACCACAGCAGCCAGGCGGTGGTAGTGCATGCCTTTAATCCCAGCACTCAGGAGGCAGAGGCAGGCGGATCTCTGTGAGTTTGAGGCCAAGCTGGTCCGACAGCCTCCAAAACAATTCAGAGAAACCCTGTCTTGTAAAAACCAAAAAGAAAAAAGAAACCACAACAAAAAGCCAACAGCTTTATAATTAATATAACGTCTTGTGTGTTCATTTGGGACTAATGTGGCTCTGGGACCAGGCTGGTGGGAATAATGCTCATTACAGGAACTAGGATTGGTAAGTAAAATAAAAATATTGTTTTAATAAAAATATAAAAAATTACAAATTAAAAATGTTTTTAAATGACAGGTCTCTACAAAAAATGAAAAACAAAACCTTTCACTTATTAAAATAAGAAGCTTGAGTTTAATTGTTACAAAGGAAATGAATTTTCATATCTCTCTGGCAATAATTGTTCATCTTAGTGGATGTAGATAGAAGAAATTATCACTACTATTTTTATAGATGCTTTTAAAAAGCAGAAAAACATTGAATTGGACCTTAAACAACTGCAAACCAGCTTAGTAGCCAGATGGCATCTCCCAAGGAGCCAAGTTGGGGAAAGAGTAACAGTAAGTAAAATCTGAGTGCCATAAATTTCTGATTTAGAAATCCAACAATAAAGCAATCTTCACCCAATAAGAATGCCCAAAGTGGGTAAAATATGAGAGGGCTGGAGAGGTGGGCCTTTGAGAGCACGGCTGCTCTTCCAGAGCACTGGATTCGGTTCCCAGCACATACATCATAACCATCCGCACCTCCAGTTTCAAGGGATCCATAGCCGTCTTCTGGACTCCTTGGGTTCCAGGAACACATGTGCACAGAGACACACCCAGGCAATATACCAATATATTTAACATTTAAAAAAATAGCAATTTTTTTTTGGTTTTACGAGACAGGGTTTCTCTGTATTGTTTTGGAGGCTGTCTGTCCAGCCCAGCCTCGAACTCACAGAGATCCGCCTGCCTCTGCCTCCTGAGTGCTGGGATTAAAGGCATGCACCACCACCGCCCGGCTTGCAGGTGACTTTGACTACGAACAAAACACCTAACTTCTACAATTACTTCCTCATCATCTCTGAAATGGGTAGAATTTCAGTAGCTATTTCTCAGTGTTAGGTTCATGGTCCTTCGGGAGGAAATGGTGAATGGGGTGGGAGGAAGGGATCTCAGTGACAGTGCTTAGCAATAGGCCCTGGGTTCAGTCCAGAGACCACAAGAGTGGGAGCGAGAAGAGAAGAAGGCTGAAGGCAGGCTCGTTGTCCTGTTCTGTCTGCACAGCACCTTGGAGGCAGCAGATTTGAGCTGCACTACTCCTGCACAGATGTGGGCTTCTGATTCTTCATCTTTCTTCTCCGCTACTCAGTGTCCTTTGCTGACATTCCCTTTCATCCTCCAAGCAGCATGCCTCTTCCATGCCACCTTCTGGCTCCTGAACGCTCATTTACAATGGCCTGCATGACTATTGTTTTACCCAAAATTAATTATGTGGAAAATGAACACCCAATGTGTTAGGTGCCTTTCTTAGTTTGAAATGAACAACCGTGCCTGCTAAAGAGAAATCTTCTTGCTTTCCCCAGGGTGGGTTATGACTGAGTTGAATGCCCCTCCCTATTGTTGTTGGGGTGGATGATTCTCTTACGGACGTCCCAACGTGGAAGGGTAGTAGGGTCAAGCTGGTGTAAGTCCCACAGGGCTGTGATGGGGATCAGACTAGAGCTGGGGTTTCTGAGGCTACAGTGCAAAGAGAGGTGAGGGGGTGCCATTTGGAGCAGCTTGTCACTAGGTAGAGGGCAAACACATAGCAGAGGCGGCCAACAAGATGTAACAGGTCTATCACTGTTTCCTGATGCTCAGCTTGCTAGCCCATCTTATATTGTATAGTGTTTGCTGGAAGGCAGGGAATGTCATTTAAAGGGCATGGGGAATGGGGACATAGAATCCAAACAAATGTCATATAAGTGCCTGGAAACAAACCTGTTAGAAAACAGACTGGTAAAACCAGCGGTATTGGTGGTTCAGGCCTTCAATCCCAGCACTCAGGAAGCAGAGGCAGCAGGATCTCTGTGAGTTTGAGGCCAGCCTGGTCTACAGAGTGAGTTCCAGGACAGACAGGGCTACACAAAGAAACCCTCTCTTGCAAAGTCAGAAAAAAAGAAAGAAAAGAGAATGGTAGGAATCTGGCAGATTCATTTTCTGCAGCAAATTTCAACCTCTTCCTTGTTCATCCTTGAAATGGGAATACTGCAAACTAAGAATTCTTACCTCAGGGGAAATGGTAGTCACTGGAATAGATCATGCTTAGGAAGTGCTGCACCTAGAGTTTCTGGCCGCATTTCTGGTCGTGTTGACAGTCAATCACCTCTGACTACATGCAGGGCAAGTGCTGTACTGTGAAGCCAAATTCCCAGAACAGGAACCTCAGATTCGTCCTTGAACTAGAAAGATAGGGGAAGATCAGCCTTCAAAAGTCGAGTGGCCAATCACCTGCAAACTTTTTATAATATATCCTAATGATGCTTTCAAATCTTGTCCTTCATATGATGCTAGGAGCTCTGGGGAGAAGGTTTAAATAGAGCCTTGGACCATCTGAGGTCCCCGCTAGAGAGGGACTAGCCATAGTGCTGGGAAGGGAGAGCCAGGTACAAGCCCATGATACACACTTTGGGAGGAACACTAGTTAAGCGTGGAACTTCTCTGACTGGTGAATATGTTTGCACATGTATGTGTGTCTGTGTGTGTTAATGTGTGTATTTCATTTGTGTATTTGTCTTCCTATGATACTGGGGATTGATGGACCTCCTCTCCCCCCAGTCTTTGGGTGTGCTAAGAAGGTGCTCTACTCATGAGCTTCATCCCCAGACCAAATGCACGAGAGAGAGAGAGAGAGAGAGAGAGAGAGAGAGAGAGAGAGAGAGAGAGAGAGAGAGAGAGAGAGAGAGATTGAGAGATTGTAATTCACAAAATTCATGACTCTGCCAGGAAGAAGCTATTTACACTCAACACGTATGGAAGCTGAGACACAACGAAACTGTGATCTTACCTACCCGCATCACACAGGTGAGCTGAAGCTTAAAGTAGTTTGTTCCATTGGAAGCAATGCTTTCTACTGGGATTTTGACAGAGGTCTAGGAAATACAAAGAGGAGTCCACCACCTCTTTCTAGAGATCCTCTATCTAGTATCATGGTGCTGTGGAGACGTTCCTGGGCCAGATGAGGCAGGTTCTGATCCCTTATCCTTGGCTCCACTTCCTCCCTGGTAACACCTTTCTGAAGTAAAAGCCAAGAGCAGTTCTCAGCCTAGCCCAGGGGCTCTACACTGAGACCTGCAGAGCCAGGCAGGGCAAGGCAGTAAGTACAGCCATCCAAATATGAGAAAAGTCACAGCACAAGGGGCAGATGGAATGATGGCTGGCAAAGTGTCATCACACCGCCACCAACAGGAGGGCAGCTATAGACCCAACATGGCCTTAGCAGATTTTCTCAAGAGTAGCGGAATATCCCAAGCAGGCTGTAGTATAATCAACCATCAGGCTGTTTTCTTACTTGTCATCATACCAATTATTATTACATTTATTTACTTGTATGCACACACATGTGTGAGCAGATACCTTTCTGGAGACGATTTTTCTCTTCCATGTGGGTCCTGGGAATAGATCTCAGGTCATGAGTCTTGGCAGCAAGAGCCTTTACCTGCTGAGCCATCTATCTGGCTCCAGAGTAATTACTTTTTGCTGTTTTGTTTTACTTCTGAGCTAATATCTTTTTATCATTGTCCTAGGCACTGGTTTTTCTCAAAGTCCTGTGGGGTGATGCTATTTTCTTTCCCTCCATCCCTCCTTTTCTTTGATGGGGTCTTATGTCTCCTATGCTGGTCTTGTACTTACTAAGTAGCCAAGACAGACCTTGAATTTCCGATCCTCCACCTTCCAAATGCTGGTGGGTGCGACTCTGCCTACTACATACAGTGCTGGTGTTTGAACCTAAGGACATCATACGTGCCCGACGAGCATTCTACCAACGGAACTATCCCCAGCCTCTCATCCCTTCTTTCAGTAGTCACTTACTGCACTTCATTTTCATCCGGGGAGTAATTAACCTGCACGAATTATAATCATTCTAGACCATCAATGCAGAGTTTAAATTATTCTAATGAGCAACAAGCATGTGTGGAGGAATGTGTTCACCTGAAACATTTTCAACTGATCATTAACATTCTTTTTCATCAAAAACATTTGTTGGGCACTTACTATGTGCTCCATCCGTGCACAGCAGTCATGAACTGCACTGAGGACCGCCATTCATGCTGCCCCCAGGTTATTTCTGACCAGGGAAATCGTCCAGGAAAAATGAGAAAACGAAGGAGTCACAGGAAAGACGTAAAAGAGCACTGTTTGGAGGCTTGGCTATCGTCCTGGTGTTAGGGCCACAGCTGCTCTCCCGGCATGTATAAATTTGAGCATGGTCCGCATGCATGCGCGGGTGCTCTCTGAAGGTGATGATAATGAATTGAGATAGGGAAAACCTGAAACTGATTTCAAGGCGCATGGCTCGAGGGGGAACGCTTTAGGAAAAGAGTCCCTGGGAGAAACGGCAAAAGGAATTGGGGTTACTAACAATGTATCCTGGAGAAAAGAAGGTTAAGGAGAATTTAATAGCCATCTTCAAATATCTAAAGGGATATTGCTCATGTGTTTTAAACATCAGTTCTTGTCTACAAAGGACAGGGCATGAGGGAATTATCTTAAACGGGAGCAGGAGGGACTTAGATTAGATACCAACCAGGAAAAAAAAAAAAGCCCAGCTGAAAGCACCGTGAGATGATGGAAGGCAACTTGATTTCCAGAAGGATGAATTATTTTAAGAACAGTGGCTGATGATTATTACTGGGGGGGGGAAGAGGGGGGAGAGCTTGGGGCTTTGAAGTCAGCCAGTCACAAAGAGTAGGGTCTTCAGCAAATGATTTTACCTTTCCGAGATTCTGTTTCCTCGTTGGGTAAATGGGGGATAATGACAGGATCTGTGTATTGGATTGGCTTCAAGATTAAATTAGACTAGGTACAGAGAGTCACTGGCCTGCGGTCTGACCCAGAGGAAAGCTCACCCGGCAATGGATGCCATTCGTTGTTGTTAATCAACTGTGGTCTTAGAAGGGAAAAAATGCTGTGTGCATGAATGCAAGCTCTCTCTCTCTTTTTTTTTTTTTTTTGGTTTTACGAGACAGGGTTTCTCTGTTTTGGAGGCTGTCGGTCCAGCCTGGCCTCGAACTCACAGAGATCCGCCTGCCTCTGCCTCCCGAGTGCTGGGATTAAAGGCATGCGCCACCACCGCCCGGTTGCAAGCTCTCTTTTCAAGTGCGGTCAATACACAAATACAGCTGTGTGCCATGAGATTCATAGTCTTTCTGAGATTATGTGGTGTCAATGTTCAGAAAGTCAAATAGATATCAACTTTTGCTTTTCCTTTTTCGGGTTACCGCGCCTGCAGCATAGGGTGGGCACATGCTGAGCTAGTCAGTGTAGCATGGTTCATGCAGCTCTGGAAATGTAAGGTCATTACAGACCTGTTATTGCTTAATCTCGGGTGGCTGAAAGCCACTTGTCCCTCTAAAAAGTTGGGTCTCTCTCTGTCTCTGTCTCTGTCTCTGTCTCTCTCTCGTATTTTGGGCAAGGTTTCTCTGTGTAGTCTTGGTTGCTCTGGAACTTGTTCTGTAGATCAGGCTGACCTAGAACTCAGAGAAGATCCAGCTGCCTCTGCCTCCTGAGTGGTGTAATTAAAGGTATGTGCCGCCACTGCCTTGCTTTAGATATAACCTTGAAACAGTGGACTCATGGGCTGGGGAATGACTCCATCAGTCAAGTTTTTGTGTGTAAGCATGAGGATCTGAGTTTAATCACCAGTACAAATTAAAAAGCCAGGTGCACCGATTGGTAGACTTAATCCCAGAGCTCAAGAGGCAGAGGCAGGCAGATCACTGTGAGTTCAAGGCCAGCCTAGTCTCGAAAAGCCAAAAATAGATAGATAGATTGATTGATAGATAGATATTGGGAAGACAGAGACAGGAGAATCCCTGGGGTTTGTTGGCTAGTCAGTATAGTCAAATCAGTGAATTCCATGTTCAGAAAGAAATCCTGTCTCAAAATAAATAGTGGACACCAATGAATACCCAAGATTGGTCTCTAGCCTACACACATATGCACATACACAACCTTGTTCAGACAGACAGACAGACAGACAGACACACACACACACACACACACAGAGAGAGAGAGAGAGAGAGAGAGAGAGAGAGAGAGAGAGAGAGAGAGAGAGAGAGAGAGAGAGAGAGAAGCATTTTTTTTCTTTTGCCATGCTGGGGATTGGACTAAGGACCTTGAAGGTGATATGCAAATATTCCAGGCCACACACCAGGCTCCAGAAAGGTCAAGTTTTGAGGGAACAGTAGGCAGGGGAGAGACTATAGAGGCTCTCAGATGGGAGAAAATGCTACAAATCATGTGGATGAGCCTTCACCTCTGAGCCATCTCACTGGCTCATTTCAGGTATTTTGAAGGCTTTCAAGAAGCTGTCCTCAGAAATTTAAATTGTATTCTGGAAGCTTTATTCCATACAATTATAACATTGCAGCACATTTAACTTACTAATATTTATTGAAATATTTTTAGCTGCAAAAACATTTTATATGCACTATTATTTATTAATGCCCCATTTTAAAATATTACACATAAAATTTATTCCAGTGCACATTAGTAAATAAATTATGCTTGTAATTTCTAATGCATTTTTAATTGTAAATTTATCCATGTCTACCTTTATTTATGATATTGGTGTCTCACTGTTGAACATACTGTATATTAATGGAGACACTGTTAATTATGCATTCTTGGAAGTTGCATTTGACAAAACATCCAAGGTTTTTTTTTTTAACATTCTAAGAACTTTATCATCTATTCATTTAGGAGTCAGCACTCACAGTCGTGGCTACCCTCTGAAATCAGAAAAGTGCTGTTAGGAGCTGGTTATAGGACCAGATTTTGGAAGGGGCTGCATTTATATGTAAATGTAGCTGGCTGGGGAGATACTGTAACAACAGGCAGATGTTCCATTTTCACCCCAAATACCCAGAGTTACTAGGGAGATAACATTCAAGAGGAAAATGCCACAGAACCATGTCCAGAGAATGTCTGCCTAGTCTGTTTCTGCAGCCCCATTTTGGTGCTGGGGATTGAATTTATAGAACCTCATACACCCTGTCAGGGAAGTCTACCACTGAGCAACACTCCTGAGCCCACAGATGGGCATTGATTGTATTGGTGTAGTGAGGTGTGGTGTGGTGTGGTGTGTGTGTGTGTGTGTGTGTCTTTGTGTGACAGTGTATGTGTGTGTGTCCGTGTATCCCTGTGTCTGTATGTTTCTTTGTGTTTGTCTGTGTGTCTCCGTGTGTGTATTCCTGTGTATGAGCTGAACAATCTGTGTGGAGGTCAGAGGGTCAGAGGACAGCTTGTAGGAACCGGTTCTCTTTTTACCGTGCAGGTTTCAGAACTCAGGTCATCATGTTTGGTAGTAGTCCCCACTACCAATTGTGCCATCTCACCAGCCCATGCGTATTTAAATACCAGTCCCAAAGTCTTATGTTGAAGATAATTTTGGTTGGTAAATTTTGCAGTCCTCTCCCAATAACCAAACTTAACTTAGAAGCAACTTATTTGTCTTTTAAAAAATTCTGGCTGGGCAGTGGTGGTGCATTCCTTTAATCCCAGCACTCAGAGGCAGAGGCAGAGGCAGGCGGATCTCTGTGAGTTTGAGGCCAGTCTGGTCTACAAGAGTTAGTTCCAGGGCAGCCTCCAAAGCCACAGAGAAACCCTGTCTCGAAAAACCAAAAAAAAAAAAATTCTTTATCTTGAAGCCTTATTTATAGTTAAGAAAAACACACTGTATTGCTCTGGGGGCTTCTTTAGGATAGTTTAGGATAGTCTGAATGGAATTTTGACACTGACTCTTTCTGGAATTATAAATAAATGCCCGTGTTTCCCCTAAAGGAGCGTGGTGCGGGTGGTGGAGGACACAGCACATTTCTAGGGCAGAAAACAGCAAAATTGGGATGATAAGAAGGAAATGAATTGGCAGGTTTATAGAGTCCCAATTAAATGTCCCTGTTTCCAGCTCTGGCAGGGTCCCGGAAGTGTGGTGTTCTCATGCCAGGCCCTGAGTTACCCCTCCAGCTTCTGGAAATAACAAGAAACAAGAAATACCCTCTTCCTCACGACCTGTCAGACGTGTATCAAAAGGATGAGAGTTCCTGTATGAGTCGGCAAGGTTCCTCACAGAATAATGTTTTGAATCCCTGCTCCTCAGCCGGTGGCCCAACTGGGAAATGTGTCAAGTAGGTCTCAGGAGCAGGCCTTTGAAAGTCACGCCGATCCCTGGTCTCTCTCTAGCCCTGCGCTTTGTAGTTTGCTGTGATGTGAACAGCCTCCTACCGCCATAACCCGAGCTACAGTGCTGTGGCTTCCCCACCGCAGACAGAAGCCTCCTGCCATGGTGAACCGCAAGGAATCTTCTCTTCTCTAAGAGGTCTCTGCCAGGTGTCATGGTCACAGCTGCCCAGAAGTAAGTCATGGAGACAAAAAGCTTGACAGGTGGAGACATGGAGAATAAGGCTCTGCGTGTGGCCTGCCACTGGAAGGACAGCAAGTATGTAAAAAAAAAAATGCAGTCCTTACCTTCTTGGTGTGTAAGGCCATGAAAGTATGGGACATTTCCATGCATCAGCCACTGTTCCAAGGATTCCAGGTATTACTTCTGGAACCCTCCCAGCAGTCTAGATGAGGGAATAGACATCAGCAAGGAAAGTAGCTTGTTAGTGGCCTCACAGCTGGTAGGTTTCTTGGAGCTTTTGTCTGTGGTCCCCACCCTGAGTCCCAGAAGCAAAAGCAACATCTGCTGGCTGGTGGCTTCTTTCCTAACCTGGAGGTGAAGACTGTGCTGCGGGATGGTCACGGCCATGATGAAGCGTGGGCCTCCTCTCTGTGTTCCGTCTCTCCAGCCCTGGGCCCAGCACCACCAGACTGTTTCTGTGTCTGCTCTTGAGGTTTGACTATTGCGCCCATAGATCAGGAGGCAGGTCAATGATGCTTCACCTTTTAATGCTTCCTTTGCCTTCTCATACAACTCCTGCTTCTGGGGGCGGAGGGGTGGGGTTCAAGTCATCCAGCTGCTTTGTTTTCTTGCTTCCTTGTCTACCTTTGAAATGCTGATCCTCAGGTTCAGAAAAGCTTGGCAAGTGCCTCCTCCTCCTCCTCTCCCTCCTTCTGTTTCTTCTCTTTCTGTTGCTTTTTCGGTACAAGAATTCACACTCTAGTGCCTAGGACAGACTTAATTCCCAACAGCGCATGCTTGCTCACTAAATAGAGTGTCATAATCGTGGTGACCACTCTTCTTTGTTAGTAATCAACAGGTCAGCTCTGTCCATATGAGTGATAGTTATTAGATCATTTAATCCTCACTGTTCAAAGAGCTTATTTTGACTTTTGTCATTCCCTTAAAAAGATTTCTGGCTGGGCGCTGGTGGCACACACCTTTAATCCCAGCACTCGGGAGGCAGAGGCAGGCAGATCTCTGTGAGTTTGAGGCCAGCCTGGTCTACAGAGCGAGTTCCAGGACAGACTCTGAAGCTACAGAGAAACCCTGTCTTGAAAAATCAGAATTTTTTTCTTTTTATGTGTATATGTGAGTGCTTGATTGTATATATGTTCTCTGTATATATGCCTAGTGTCCAGAGGCCCGAGTAGATATCAGATCCTCTAGACCTAGAGTTCCAGGTGAGTGTGAGTTGCCTGATGTAGATGTTTGGAACCAAACTTAGGTCCTCTGCAAGTGCTCTTAACCATGGAGTCATCCTTCTGGCTCCTGCCATTCCCTTTTTACATGTAAGCAGCTGTGTAAAAGGGAGGCAGCTTAATGTGGTGACCCACAATGCAGATTGGGGGTTTGGTCTTTAGATCTATACATGCTTGGTAGTTCAGCTGATTTCCATTTTAGCTGGGTTTTATGTGTCTGAGAGACAACTAGACAATTGGGCTTCAGAGTGGCCTCAAGTTAGGTAAAAATAGAGAATAAAGTCTAGAGGCCCAAGCCTGGCTTAGCAGATACTAGGTTCCATTCCAAACAGACTGAAAGGACAGAAAACCCTAAACCTTAAAGAACAGATCAAGAAAATTGAACATCCACTCTGCTCACATTTACTGTTTTTGCAGGGTGACAACAGCAGGTCTATGAAGGAGTCATGGTTGTTTGTGTGTAAAAGTCCCGCTGATGCTTATGTGCCTCTCTCTTTCTGCCACCACGCTTGAAGTAAGGAACCAATCATATACCACTTGAATGAATCTGTGGGGTGCTGTGGAATATCCCTTCTGTATTACTGTGAAGATGTGCTGCTCTCATTGTTAATGAAAAGCTGATTGGCTGATGGCTGGGCAGGATTTTTGGGACAGAGAAAATGCTGGGAAGAAGAAGGGTGGGGGTCTTGGGAGTCTCAAGGAGATGAGAGGAAGCACGAGATGAATTTGCTATACTGTGAAAAGGCACTTAGCCACATGGCAGAGGGAAGCTAAGAAGTATTGGTTAACTTAAAATGTAGGAGTTAGCCAGTAACAAGCCTGAGCCATCGATCGATTAATAATGTCTCTGTGTGGTTATTTGGGAGCTGGCTGGTAGGACATAAAACTCCATATACAATAGGGCTATCGGCTGGTTGGTGACTTTAATATTGGGTACGGATCCACCAAGATTCAGCCTTGTCTCTTTGGTTCTTTTGCTAAATACATTTTTGTTCTCTTTTAAATACCAAGTCTTGCTAAATAGCTCAGGCTGGCTTGGAGCTCCTGATCCCCTATCTCAGCTTCATTAGTGCTGCAGTTATTGGCACTGGTGTCACATTTGACTTGCTGGAATGAATTTTTTGAGAAGCTTCCCAGAATATTTCTCAGATAGGAGAACACTAGTACTGCCTCTCTTTTGGTGTGTGTGTGTGTGTGTGTGTGTGTGTGTGTGTGTGTGTGTGTGTTGAGGTGTGCACATGGAGGCCAGAGGACAATTTTAGGTATGGTTCTGCCTCAGACACCATCCAACCTTTATTTATGACACAGGGTTTCTCTGTGTAACAGCCTTGGCTTTTCCGGAACTCACTTCGTAGATCATGTTGGCCTTGAACTCATAGAGATCCACCTGCCGCTATCTTTCAAGTGCTGGGATTAAAGGCAAGGGCCACCACCACCCAGCTTTTATTTAATTTTTTGAGACAGGATCTCACTGTGCAATCCTGGCTGGCCTAGTACTTTATATATAAACCAGGCTGGCCTCAGGCACACAGGGATTTGCCTGTTTCTATCAACTTAACTTCTTTGAGACAGGGTCTCTCTTGGAGTCTTGGGAGTCAACCAATTAGGCAAGACCAAGTGACTAGCCTGCATCTGAGGTCTGCCCACCTCTGTCTCCCTGGAGTTGCTTGCCTGTACCACCACATATGGGTGTTTATTTGAATTCCACAGATCAAATGATTTACTATCTGTCTTGCCAGCCCTCTGCCACTGATTTCTATTCCAGAAAATTAACCTTCTTACATCTCACCCAGACTTTCTACCAATCCTGAATATGGCTGTTATCCTCACTATTTTGTGTTATAAGATTCTTAACATTTGTTATGATGTGCTGGCCACTTTGCTGCTATTTATTATTCATCAACCTATTTTATTTTCATAGCAACACTCAGAAGTTGGAACTATCATTATTGGTAGAAAAATCGAGAGGTGTAGTGTCCAAAGATTCACAGAAATACAGAATTAGTACTTGACTCTGTTAAAAAAAAGATTTTTTTTGGTTTTTCGAGACAGGGTTTCTCTGTGGCTTTGGAGGCTGTCCTGGAACTAGCTCTTATTGACCAGGCTGATCTCGAACTCACAAAGATCCTCCTGTCTCTGCCTCCCGAATGCTGGGATTAAAGGCGTGTGCTACCAACGCCCGGCTAAAAAAAAAGATTTTAAAATTAAATTTTTTTTTAGAATTTCATCCACACATACAATGTATCTCGGTCATATTCATGCCTTTCCCTAACTCATCCCAGACCCACCTCTGCCCTCTCCCAAATTCTTGACTAGTTTCCCTCCCCCTTTTACTTTTTAAAATTCCAATTTGCGTTGTCTATATATTTCTGAGTGTGAGGCCATCCATTGGAGATAGTTGACCTACCAGGGGCAATACCCTTATGGTAAACCGACAGTCCCCCAGTAGCAACCAACTACAACGCTGATTGGCTTGGTCTTCTGTGGGTCTTGTATAGGTAACTCCAGTGAATTCATGAATGCAGAGAGCCTGTCTGGTCCAGAGGATATTGATTGTTCCAGACCTCAGGCTCTTGCGGTCTTTCTGTTTTCGATTTCATGACGGTCCCTGCGCCTTCCAGAACGGAGGCGTGATGTGCCCCACTTGTGACTGAGCACTCTATATAGACGTTCCACCTCTGCACTTCGGCCGGTCGTGAGAGTTTCTGTGTTAACCACCGTCCACTGCAATAGGAAACTTGGCTGGTGAGATCTGTGAGCGGCGCTAGTCTGGGTGTTGAGATAGGAATTTAAAAGGTAGTTTGACACCATGTCCATCTAGCAAGTAATAATTGCCGTGAACTCTTCTTTCTGACGTGAAGGTTAAGCCGAGGACTGTTCCCAGTAATACAGAGACTAGTATGTAGAGAACGCTTCCAGACCTGTCGGAGGCCAGCGCGCGTGCGCCAGCCTTCCGCCAGGCCCCGCCCCCGCCCCGCCCCCCCGGGAGGCGCTCGCTCTTGGCTCTGGGGCTTGCGCACTACGTCCCCAGCCAGAGGCCCCCTTCCCGACCGGGGACTTCCGGTACGCCGGGTGCGGTTCCGGGTCGTGGCGCGGCTCGGGGTAGCAGGGCTGGTGTTGCCGGCCGGCGGCGGCGGCGGCGGCGGCGGGGTCATGAGGGCGAGTTTGGGGCGCGGCAGTCGAGCCGGCCGGTAGGAGCGCCGGTGCCCGAGCACTTCGTGGGCGCGGAGTTCGGTGCGGGGGCCGGGAGGCGTGGGGAAGCCGGGGCCTCCCCCGGGGACGTGTCCTGGGAGAGGCGGCCCGTAGTGGGGAAGCAGCTTCAGGTAAAGGTTGCCCCGGCCGCCGCCGCCGCCCCCTCGCCCGCGGGGCCCTGCGGTCCCTCAGCACCGAGCTGAGGCCGCGCTGGGTGGCCCGGGAGCATCCGTTTCCTGGCCCTTCCCGAGCCTGACAGCCGGGTGTGGGACTTAGGTGAGGAGAGGCTGTGGACCTGGTGGCGTGGGGCGGGAGCGGGGGCCGGGGGGCGCCGCCCGTGGCTCCAGGGTTTCGGGTCCCGAACTCGGCAAGGTCCGGTGCCCCGGCTCCGTTCTGTGAAGTCAGCTTTCGGAGCATTGCCTGGACAGTCCTGAAACAGTCCTGCGGGTCGTTTTCCTCTCCGGAGTGCTGCTGGGGACTTGGATTCCGGGCTTTTCTGTTTATGGGAGGGGCAGGGAGTGGTAAAGCCGGGGGTGGGGGGGAAGAAGAAGAGTGTAGTTTAAAGAAGTGTATAACCCGAATAAGAAACTATAAGATGGACCAGGGACCTCGAAATTTGTTACACTTCCTTTGAATGACTGCAAACCTTTGAAACTGCCACTGCCCCCAGCTCCGTGCAAAGCATCATGTTTGTTATAAACCCCCCAAACAACCAAGTTCAAAACCTTCCCAGGCGCGAGTAGTGACGTACACAGACACATTAGTGAAAAGGTCGGCATTCACTTGACCAACGGACGGGATGGGCCCCTCTTGTGCACACCCACCAGAGCAGAAGTAAAGCGCATTATTTCCGCGCTTTTGGGCCACCCAAGCTGCAGTGACAGTACTTGTTCAGTGAAAATTGTCCCCATCTTTTTCAGCTTAGGCCCCCTCAAACTTAACTGGGGTGTGAGGTGGGGCCGTGCCAGGTGCCCCTTTCCCGATCAGCCGGGTGCACACATCCACTGTGCATAGTGCCTGCATAGCCTCCTGTGTCTGTGACTCCTGGCTGGCTTTTTACTGCTAAGCTTATAAAAGTCTCCATTATAGGCCTTCCCACCGGATAAGTAAGATCTCAAATCACTTTTGATTTACTCCCAAGTACTTAAAAAAAAAGACCCTGGCCCACCTAGAAGCTTCCTGGCTTTTGGTTTCTAACATATTGATAATGCTTCTCATGGGTCATCTGAAGGTGGTCCCACTTAGCCAGCTAGGGACAATCCGGCTCCTAATGATTTCTTTCTTTCCTTTTTTTTTTTCCTTAAGAATTATCCTTTGAAATGTGTGCCCTTGTGGGGTTTGTGTGTGTGTGAGGTCAGCTGGCCTAGAGTTGGAGGCACTGTTACTTGTGGGCCGCATGTTGTGGGTGCTGGGGACCCATCTCGGGTCCCCCACAAGAGTAGTCCTGGCTCCTAACTGCTGAACTGTTTCTCTAGCCCTGGGGATGGTTTCTTACCTAGAATCCTATAAATATAAACACTTGTTATTTGCAGTCATTTGATGTAGGAAGCATTTATTGTGCATGGATATAGGTCAGGCACTGTAGTGCAGTTTAATAAGACTTAGTCATTGTGTTCAGGGAGTTCTTACTGTGAGGAAAATTAGTCACTCCAGTGCAGTGACAGGTGCCGGTGTAAGAGGTTTTCTCTGGAATGGAAGTGAAGTAGTACATAGTGTTAGCTTTTGAGAGATGACATTTGGTCAAGTGAATGAGCATAATACAAGGTAAATTGAACTTTCATCTTTCTTGTATAATTTATTAAACTAAAATTTATGGACAGGAAGATACAGGATAGTTACACAGCTGGTATGAGACCTTTTTCTCACCATGGCACTCTGCAAGTACGTATTGAAACAACTGAATGAGAGGAAACATAAGAATGCTGAAATGGACAATACAGAAACTCCTTTATACCAGGCCTGGCCTTGTGGTGCAGACCAATTCCTTGGCAGCTGGTACTCTGAGGCAGCAGAGAACTTGCACAGATGGTTTGAGGCTAGCCTGAGTATCAGTGAAACCCCATTAAAAAAAGACATGTTGGGTTGGATAGTGGTTAAGAGCTTGGGCAGTTCTTCCAGAATTCCTGGGTTCAGTTCCCAACACCTGCATGGAGGTTCACAATCATCTGTAACTCCAGTTCCAGGGGATCTGATGCCATGTTTTGGCCTCTGTGGGCACCAGGTAGGCATGTGGTATACAGACATATATGCACACAAACACCCATATACATAGGTTAAAAATAAATTAAAAAAATGGGTTTATAGTTAAGAGCATTGGCAGCTCTTCCAGAAGTCTTGGGTTTAATTCCCAGCAACCACATGGTGGCTCACAACCATCTATAATGAGATCTGGTGCCCTCTTCTAGTGTGCAGGCATACATGCAGGCAGTGCATACATATTTACATACATACAGGTTTGCCAGCAGGCTGTGGTAGCACTCAGGTGGCAGAGGCAGGTAAGTTCTTGGTGAGTTTGAAGCCAGCCTGAACTCAGGTCTACAGCCTGAGTTCCAGAACAGCCAATACTACACAGAGAGACCCTCTCTCAAAAAACAACAAAAAACCAAACAAGATAAAGAAAAAACCTTGTAGAACCCCAACACCCTAACCTGAGCTTTCTAAGCAGAATTTCAGATTTGGTGCTTTCAAGTTAGTGATACTTATCCAGTGAAGTCTGTGAAACTGCTCCCAGACTCAAAAATCTGAAAACACTCTGGCCCCAAGGATTTTGAATAGGAATTCACAACCTGCATCTAATGATAGCTACAAGATCTCTGGGACGTGGCCTTAGAGGGTGAGTGAGTTTCTAGCCCAAATAAAGCCAATTCATTGCAAATGTTTCTCAACTGTTAGAGAATTTATTGGAAGTCAGTGTCCCGTGAAATCTTACTCAAATCAAATTACAAAAAGTTCCAGACATATCACTAGGATATTGGCACTGCTACTTTTAGCAGGAATTTGAGGGGTAGAGTGGAAGGGCCAGACTATGTGAGAGCGCAGGCAATTGAGATCAGTTTCAGTTTCTAGTCTAATTTGCCAGTTAATATAGACTTGGATAATGTGTGGTTATTCACCGGTTCCAGGCGAAATGTTGGGCCCTGGGATGCCACTGGGAATAAAGCCAAGTCCCCGCTTTGAGGTCATTGGCATTCTAGTTGGGGAGCAGTGGGTGCAGATGAAGTAGGCATGCTCTGTACATGCTGCCACAGGGCGCCATGGGGTCCACAGGAAGGAATATTGATAATGGTAGCCAATGAGTGCTTACTGTACATGACATTGTCCCTAAAACTGTTTCACATCTGTCCCTGTGTGAAGGTGTGAGCATCACCCTGGTTTTACAGATGAGGGAACTAGGGTACAGAACAGATAACTTCTTGGTGGGGGTAGGGGTGGAGTGGGTGGGGTAGGGTGGGGTAGAATGAGTACTTAGCATGAGTGAGGGCCCACACCTCACTGTCAGGAACCAAAAAGTAAACTGAGTTTATACAATTGATGTTTTGAGCTAAAGGTTGTCTGCCAGTGTCTTCAGTCCTGAACCATGTTACTTGTTGCTGTGTGAAAGTTCAGGGCTCCAGTGTGATGTGACTGGCTAGGCACAGAATGGAGGTGGTCTGCACTCAGGGCTGGGCCCATCCGCTAATCTGTTTCAGGAGTGTTTGTTTGTTGTTGTTTCTTTTTTTAGGGTGGGTGTATTTTGCTTGTTGACTCAACTGAAGACTTTGGAAACTTCAGTTCAGTGAGTTTACAAAAATCTTTTAGATATAGGTTATAACGATATTTAGGCCTAACTGTTAAGGCTGCAGCCAGATGTCAGGTTGCCACATAATAGAGAAGTCTGTTACATTTCCCACTGAATGTGCCCTGACCTTGTGTTTCCAGAACCCTTGTCTTAGAAGTTGGTGCATCAGGAAGCACAGAAGCCTGGGGAATTGCTAGAGAGGAGAATTTTAGTTCTTGCCAATCCAATTTGCAGAGTGGCCAGTAGATGGTTTTCTCATGTCATTAGTCTACATATCAAAGGAATGAGGTTTTGGTGAGGGGACCTTGTGATACTTGGATTTGGTGCTTGTTGCACTGTAAATGTCTTCCGATTGGTCCTTCCTTTGGCCTTCTTCGTGGTACTGTGAAGTGGTATTGTCCCTTTGATAATTTTCTGTGTACCGTTTCCATTGCCCTCATAGCCCTTTACAGAAAGCAGGTGGGGCTACACAGGGGAGCAATCAGAACTTCTAGAGATGAAAACATTGGCGGCCAGAAAAGCACAGTTTTGTAGAAAGTGCCTCAATCTGAGAGGGACTCACCTTTGGCATAGGCTTCACTGAGCTTCATCTTTGAAGTTTGGGCAAGTCATTTTCAGCGCCTTGGATCTTTTCCCTCCCTGGATGGTGAATAGTGAAATTCAAGTCTTGTTGAGGTATTTTCAGGAATTGTTATGCTTAAAGTTACACAGTAGGAGCCGCGCAGCGGTGGGGCACGCCTTTAATCCCAACACTCGGGTGGCAGAGGCAGGAGGATCTCTGTGAGTTCGAGGCTGGGCGGACCGACAGCCTCCAAAACAATACAGAGAAACCCTGTCTTGAAAAAAAAAAAGTTACACAGCAGGGTCCTGGCAGACCCACAGAGAGGTGCTGACCTTTTCTGCCTGGCAGTCCAGGCCCTGCCTTGTATTCCGTGTTATTTCCTCCAAGGGACCTTGGTGACCAGTGCTCCCCTCAGGCATTTAGTGCTTTGTTGACTGTCATATATAGATTGAAAGGGGACAGAGAGTCACCAGCAGAGTAAGAGAAATATGATTAGGGAGTTCCCAACCCAAGAGTTTAATTTATTTTTATTTTAATCCCCCTCTTCTACCAGGTGAAAATTGAAGAAATATTGGTCTGTTGGATTCTTGTTTTCATTCATACTCTATTGTATAAAGAAATAACATGGAATATAAAAATGAAGAAAGCAAATCCTGAGCAGTCATTCGGAATTTATTAACTCTACTTGGCAGCAGTCTAAGTGTATCAGGGAAGTAGACTTAAGATAGGAAACACAAAATTTGAACTGAAAGTAGAATATAGTTTTAGAAAACTGAAAATGAGAGGATGGAAGGAAACCACTTAAGAAAAAACAAACCTGAAATTTTGCAAAAAAGTGTTAGAGTCACTACTGGGAATATTGTGATTGCTTGTAAAATAAATTGTTATGTCAGATTCCCCCCTAAATGTGTGATGTTAGGTTCATAATACCCTACA